CCCACCCCTCTCTCTCTCTTGCTTTTTCTTGTAATACAATCCAACTCAATTAGCCTCACTGGGCTTAACTACAATACAGTATACAGTATATTGTTAAAGCTTGGTTAGCTATCAGTGTATGTATTCAAATATTATCAGTTGTTCTGCCTACAGGATAAAATATAACAATAAATGACAAGTGAATGAACATGTAATCCTATAAAACCATGGCTGCAATAACAACCTTCACATTGCTGGTTTCAGGCTTTGGAACCTGGCAGCAGGGATTTGCTCCCATTCAGCCACAAAATAGAGAGGTCTGACAATGAAGTTGGGTAATAAGGTTTGATTAGCAGTTGGCGGTCCAGTTTATCCCAAAGGATCCTTGTGGGTCATTTATTTTTTTGGCAACAAACAGGGAAAGTAATTTTTATGAACCTCATTGCTAAGTGTTTGAACTGGGACACTCCTGTTGTCTACCTGTTTGTCCAATAAGTCCTCTAATCCTCCAACCTAAACAACAAGTGGATTGTCTGTTATTGTGTTTTCTGGTCTTGTATCACTGTACTTATGGTTTGGTTAGGTGTAGATAATCCCTAAAGGTTGCATTGAGATGTATTCTTACAGCCAAAAGAAAACCTGAAAGACCAAAAAACACCTGATGCAGAACTCTAATGGATGATTTAGCCAAAAATATCATTGGAAATATAAAACAAACCAGTGCTGATTGTTGGTAGAAGACAAGGTTCAGTCACAGTCTCTGGTGTCACTATCACAGGTTTCGTTAGCTCAACTATCCACCTTGACCTCCTCCCTTAGAGGTTTTGCAGTGCAACTATTTGTACCTTTGTGACTGACAATCAATCAGAGGTCTTTGTCAGCTCAATGAAATAGGTCATTTTAAGTGCAGCTGACTCACAAGATATTAATGCTATCTTGTATATCGGCCTGTTTGTGTGTCTGATTGACTGAATACTAATCACTGCTGAGAGCTTTCACATCTGTCTGTCAATACAACTGGCACTGGACAGCATGCTCTTTATTACAAAGTGCTGTGTGTTAATGTGTGTGTGCTCTCCACCAAATGAAATGTGCCACCTCTACTTCACTTTGACTGCATGTCTGTAATAAATCACATGCATGGTAATATTGCTAAGCAGAAGCAGTCAGCCACTTTCTCAGTCAAAAAATTGACTTCACTGCTTCCATCTGCTAGAGAAAACATAAAGTCCAACAGCACCACCACCAAGAGATCACACACAGTAACTACAAACAGTCAGTCCACAAACAAAGGAATAGGCAGGTTCTGAGGCAGGCACACAGTACAGTCAGAGAACAGACAAAATACCAGATCAAACTTTGAGTTAATTCACAGATGAGTCTGACACGTTAAGCAAGGGCTAGACAACTGGAGGAGCAAATGTCCGATTGAAAGGTGAAATGAAGTCCAAATGGGTAAAAACAAAACAGGGGTTGCAGGGGTGAATGCTGGAGAGTCACCAGAGACATTTTGTGGACAAACCTGGCAGGTGCTGACTGCTGGATTAGACGGTGAGTGGGTGACAGCAGAGATAGAAAGCAGGTGAGTGTGGGTGAAGCTGGGTGACGCCAGTAAATGTGTGAAAAACGAGGACAAGCTATGTCAAAGACTGAAAGCGTGACAGTTCATCAGCATCCATGGCAACAACTGTTTCTGGCATATGACTGAAAGCAGTAATTACCAGCTGCAGCTGTCCTTCATATAAAGTGGCAGTTGGGAGGAAGTGAGTTGAAAAATGGTCTTTGTATTTTACCTGCAACTAACTACTGTATAACCCACATGTATGTACTGAATTGTGTGTTTAGAAAGCAGCATTACGTGCACAAAGAGCACCTGGACTGGGATGAGCAGAACTCTTCTGATGATTACATCGAGAAACACTGCAAATCAGTCAAGGTACAGTACATGTCACTCACATCAGACAATCAGGCGCAGTCATGACTTTGAGGCGGTAACAGTAGGACATCAGAGTAACTGTCTGTCTCTCAGCGGTACAGGCAGAAGCAGAGCGAGGAAGAGAGGCAGCTGTTCGACCTGATCAGCTACATGCTTGAGCATGATGTCTGCAGACAAATCACCCTGGAGGAGGCTCATGTATACTGTACTAAACATCTACCTCAGGTAGCAATTATTATTTATTTATTTAATAAAATATTTTAAATACATTTCTTTCATTCCATCCTGATCCAACAGTCCACATAAAAAAGTCCAGTGTATTGCAGAGCAATTCTGTGTTCCCTTTAATGAATCTTAGTCCTTTCAACCCCAGTTTGTTAATAAATATTTAGCATTTTGGTTCTGTCTTACACAGTGAATTACTACTACGATTAACTTAATTAAATAATATATTATTTATATTGTTCTCACCAAAATCATCACTTTGAGTTTAGTCACTATAGCGGCCATGCTAAAGTAAATGTTAGGTCTCTAACCCCAGGAAGAAATCCCAGACATCAGCTGTTGTAACCACTTTGCTGATACAGACTAACATAAAGTGAACAATATTCAAGATTCATGCAGCTGAGGAAGTTTCCTTGACTGAGCATTTATCCAACTATAAAATATTACATGTGAATGCAGCCACTCAGATAAACAGTCTGCTTGTCTGCTATCTGAGAAGCATCACTTTAAAGCCATTAAATCACTTGGATGTAATGAAGCAGTATAAAACTAAATGAGTCTGAGAGGCAAGGCACTGAACTATTGTATAATATCCTGGGTTCCAGTCTGTCTCGTGACATTTGCTGCATTTTATCTGTGATTTGTTCTGCTTAACTTAATTTATTGTCAAAGAAGAGACATCATAGATTTAAAGCAATGATTTTTAGAAAAAAAAGATCAAACTCTTTTTTTTCCATTTTTTTTTTATTCTAATGACATTTTTCTCACCAAAATCATCACTTTGACTGTGCAGTGAGTTTTGTATTTCAATAAACTTGAAGAGTTGGTGAAGCCTCTGCAGAGACTTCTGCACCCTTTGGAGGAGGAGTTGTAGAAAATTCAACTCCTCAGAAGATGAAAATGCTTCATACTCATCCTCAGGAGATAATGTATACATATGCAAAATCTTATGACCAGTTGTCTTGTAGTTGCTGACATATTTTAGACTAGCCCAACCAGCAGAGCAACACAAAGCCACAAAACCATGTTAAAAATGAATCGTATTTTCCTTGAATGCCACATGATAATTGATATGTGATTGTCAGCATGATTTACAGAAGATAAACGGTCCAAAGACTAAACTAATAAAGTCTAAAACTTTATTAGTTGTCCTAGATCAGGCTCGAGCCTAAAGGAACTGTGATAAATTGGGCTGAGACTCATGTAGCCCTGCAGGCTACAGAATGTTTCTGCTTCAGACTAGAGTATGTGTGATGTAGTGAGATAAGCTCAAAAGTTTATATGTTTTGAACAGTGTGCATTGAAAATTTAATATTGAAAGTAATTAAATAACACATTTAATGCTTTTTTTATTTTAGGATATTCTCTAATTTACTGTGAAGTATCAATCAAGTCTGCATTTATCTACATGTTTTTATGCATTTTCTCTGGTTTTGCAGTTTCTTTTACAAACTAGTTGTAGCAGATAGTGGCACAGCGTGAGATTCATCATTAATTGGCCGCAGCAGTGAAGGGTTGAGGGTGTCTCCACCAAAAACACAGGCTTGATTCTGCACAGGTGGCTGTGGGTCACATGGTTCTGTAACACCTAATGGTCCAGCAACCAGTGCAAAGCAGGAAAACATGGCTGCTAACTGCTGCCGCACCTCCTTTTGCCAAAAGGCGTATACTAAAGGGTTGATCAGTGAGTTAGACAGTCCCAGCAGCCAGAGGTGATTCTCCAAAATATCTTTGAGTTCACAGCTTTTACACAGAATATGCACAATGCACACCACAAAGAAAGGGCACCAGAGGACTAAGAAGCAGCCCACAAGCACTGCCACTGTCCTCAGAGCCTTGACATGACTCCTATAACCGCTCCTGAGCTGCTGATGCTCGTGGTGATGCTGATAATGCTGATGGCCATAGTGTTCAGCTGTCCTGAAGCCTGCTTCCCTAACTTGGCAAATCTGCTTCTGGTGGCTGTAGGCTATCTTCAGGATGTCCAGGTAGATGTAGATGAACACAGACAGCACAGGGAAGAAGAATATGCTGAATAAGACAATGATGCCCACTTCTTGAATGACTGAGAAGAAGGCACAGAAGCCACTGTAGCCCTCTGCCTGCAGCTGCCGCACCATGACTGAGGAGCAGAAGACATGGATTGTTTCAGATTAGTCCTACTCCATACAACTGATGATCTGGTCATGTTCAGACAGGTGTACTGTTCGACAAAATGCAGCCCTTTCATTGATTTCATTAACACCACTAAATTGGCAGGAGAGAAGAAAGAACAGATTTGTCTCCACTGAACATTTTGTAGCAACACCATGTAATTTTATCTGGCAAGGCACAGCATTAGCCAATCAAATACATTTTTATCTGGCAACCACTGAAGTGGAGTTCAACATGAGTGCCACCAGTAAAATCCTCTCTGATAAACCTTTTAACACAATGAATGCATTATTCAAACTATACTTCCTGCACCCTTTTCTCCAGCACGTTTTCAACACACCATTCCACCAACAATATAGTGTTTACTTATTTTTCAGCCTCACCTGGCAAAAATCCCACAATGAGAGAGCTGATCCACAGAGCCAGCAAAGACCCGACTGCTGTCCCTTTTCCAGACAGCAGGGAGTAACGCAGCGGCATCTTGATCGCTGCATAACGGTCAAGTGAGATCAGGAACATAGACATGATGGATGCTGTGGTGGACGATGTCACAAAGGCCATCTGCATCAAACAGCGGGTCTTGCCCTGAGCAGGAGGCATGGCATTTGTGGGAGGATCAGCAGTGATGTGGCTCTGCTGGTCCTGAGTGAGATTGTTGTTGTTGTTGTTGTTGTTGTTGTTGAAGTTCTCTGTGGCCAGGCCAGTGATGGCCATGCCCACCAGGGCATCAGCCAGTGCCAGGTTGAGGACAAAGCACCAGCTCTGGCTGCATTTCTTGAGGAGGAGTTTAAGCAGAGCAGCTGCCACTAGGAGGTTGGTGGAGATGATGAGGCAGGCGGCGATGCTCAGGATCACACCTATCACCAGAGGTCTCACATCACTGTGGGTTGTCAGTTCATTAGAGTCCATGTACTCAGGAGTCCTGCTAATGGAGGGCTCAGTGTTCGCTTGTCCAGTTAAATATGACATGTTGATTAAAAAAAACAAAAGATTTTTAACTGAATTTCACAGTCTGAGCAGTTGAGACGGGCTGACACTGCTTCGATCAGAATCAATGTGTTATCAGTTACAGCTGTTGTCCATCACAACACAAAATGTGCCAATTGCAGGAAAGTGACAATCAAAAAAATGGCATTTGCACAAATGATAAAGAACAAACTACTGTATGTTAAAACTTTAAGAAAGGTTAAAACTGTGTATAAAAAAGAGCTGTCAGAATGTATACTATACATCATTTCATAATAACTTGCTCCAGCAGTTAAACATTTAACTGCACTTAAGTGGCAAAGATTTTGAGCGTCAAACCGTGATGATGAAGAATCTTGTCAGCCAACATCCTCCCGCTATATTAATCCAGTGTTTTGCAATGTTTCCACAATGACTGATGTCAAAGTTTTGAAACGTTGCCCTTAAAACATCCATTTGATCTCACTAATCTCATCTGGTCATAGCAGTGTTCTTAAAATCCCTCCAACGAATGCAGACGGACAGAAGCACTCACAGCATATCAGCAGGTCTCACTTGTCCCCTCCCCTCACATACACATAAAAGCACAAAACACATACAGTAATACCCATCTGCTGCTCATCCATTGCTGTTGCCTCAGTGAGACTGACCCTTGTTCTGCAGCCGCCTACCTGCTGCTCCCTGGAAGAAAGATCTTTATTTTTATAGCCATTTTACAGTATTTAAAAGTTGTATGTAATATTTTTAAAATAAGGCTTTATTATAGTTAGTGTAATACAAAGTAACGAACCTCACATAAGTGGCGAATAAAAAATAAATGTAAACAAATTAATGATTGTAGTACACTACTGTAATTTTGGTGAACCAATATTACTCACTTAAAATAAGTATGTTAACATTATCCATGTGACCATGTTTACATGCTCATGTTAACAATTAACTTAAAGCTTTGTTGTGCCTACATACAGCCTCACAGAGCTGCTGGCAATGCCAAGCCAGACTGTTCAGTGTTTTCACACCTTGTCATTCAGTCACACAAAAACACATCCTCAAACTTAAACACTGCAATCCCAAAAGTGCAGTTTCACCGGGTTCATTATGAGTCCACAGCACCCTGAAAGGTCCTCTCTCTCTCACCCCTCATAACCCCTCCCTCCCAACAAACCAAATTAGCTCCAAAAGACACACAATGTAGGGATGCTATTCACCCCTGCTAGACTTTTCAGGACCTTTCAAAACAAAGCCTAGGTCAGCAGTAATTGTACCCAGTGCCCAGCAGCACCCTGGGGCCAGGATCCTGTTTACACCTCTGCTAGCACCACCCTCAACTCGTTGTGACCAAGTGTTGCAACTCCACCTGGGCCTGGGATTTGGTTTGAAGGAGTTTCTGAATGTTTTGAGCCAAAGCAAGGAGTTCTCCAGGTTTAGAAGCGCAGCCTATCAGGAAACAGTTCTTCTAGGTAGGCTCATTAAGATGATGTAGATAATGCTATATGAGTGATGTCGTCAGGGTGATGTGTGCTATTCAGCGGGAGCAAGGCTTAGTTGATGCTTCACATTGTTGTTATGCATCAGTTTGGCCAGAGTTTGAGTCGTGGCAGAGGTCTTGGTGGAGTCCCTGTTTAGTGATAACTAAACTCATGAAAACAAGATCCCAAATTTATTGTAGTGTCAACCTATGTGTAATGTAATATATCTTATCTGTATTTATTACTGTATTATTTAAATACTGTGGTCTGAGGCAAATTAGGAGTAAGATGCCACACCTGAATAATGTACCAGCTGCAGTTACCAATTAAAAAGGCAAAAAGTGGTCTTAACTACAATATTTGTGTATCCACTGATAATAGATTTCCTTTTCATGCCTGGTCTGTTGTAGGCAATGTAAAAGCAGTAAAGCCAAATGCATTTGTGTTTCCATCAGACTGAAGATGTCTTTAAAGAGATGGCTGGTGTCCATGTTGTTGTGCTGTGTTTACTGCGTGGCCTCGCTCTTCTGCCTCCACCCAAACTGCAACAACTGCTCCTCTGTTGGAGCTAGGTGAGTTTGTGTGTGTCAATATATTAAAAACTGGCAAATGTTTATGAACCTTTTAGTTACAGGAACTGATATTCTAAATATAATGTACTTCAGGAAAAATTGTTTTTGATGTTCTGAGTTTTCTGTCTATTTAGTACATAGTAACCAATGCATTGACCCTAACCCAATAGTGTGCATGTCACAGTAGCACATTGCTAATCCAAAAGCAACACTTCTTGCCACTTGGTGTTCCCTCACATGTTCTGCACTTGAACACATGACATATATTTGGGATTTAGTGCATGCTGACTCACTCAAATGGCTTTATGGTAGTGCTGCTTTTATAGACCTTCACTCCCTTTTTACTTTCTGCTGCTGCTTCCCTTACATCACCCTCTCCATCCACTTATCGTTTCATCCCTTACTCTCACTTGCTTTCCCCTCCTTTAGGAATCTGGTGTCAGTCATCCAGCAGGTTTACCAGCGTGCCATTCGACTGATGCGCACCACTCTGTGACCACAGTCCTTCCTTGTTTCAACCAGTAATAAGTAACCTGTCCTGTCACTGTGGCTGCTCCGGCTTTTATCAAACATGCCTCCAGCAGTGCTTTGCCATTTAAAAAGAAAAATAAGAAACAGAGGAAGAGGAATGGTGTCACTCCACTCATCAACTGTACTGTAGAGTTCCCATCACTTCAGTATTCTCTGCACTGGACCACCTGCCCTCATATGTTCACCGCTGCATTTGTCTGATTATATTTTAGTTAAAAAAAACAAAAGTATGTCACATGATTTTTTTTACTGATAGAGGATAACATTATGAGTATTTGCATCGTGAGATGTGAACGAGGTAGAAACACCATCAATGGTTCTTTTTTTAAATGCATTTTAAGGTTTTGCTGTGAGCTTGGCTGCTCTGCTGTTTACTGCACATTCTGAAGAATGAAGCTTAAAGGCATTATAACCAGGAGGTTACTGATTAGAATTCCTGGAATAGCTAGGAGAATGTCATGTGAAGGAGCAAATTTTCTTCTCTTTATAAACAGTTACCACATCAAGCTTGCAGTAGTACTGCGCTTTAGTGGGAGTACTGTTCAGAATGAACCAAACTAAGGCCCTAAATCTGGGAAGACCTATCTAAACTAATAAGTATAATTTGATCTTCAAGAGAATATCTCAAAGGAGAGTGGACCAGAGGTCTGCAATAGACTGATTATTGACATAATATTACTTAACATCATAAATTACATATAATGATGACAGATTTACTGCAATAAAACAAAATCAGTTTTCTTAGGAAAGCATGTGTCATTTTTTTACACTCTATGTATCTAGTGTTCACCTCGTGTAGATCATAAAGTTACAAAAAAAACAGCAGGCCTGCACAAATACAAACTTTTATTTTGAAAACCCCGGTGTATCTGGCGTTATGAGGTTCCCCTCCCCATTCGTTCTCCTGTGCAAGGAACTGCCTGCATTCAAGGTGTGTGGAAATCAAACCATGTGATGATCTTAAACAAACACTTGTTATGGACAAAATAAAGGAAATATGATATTTAAGGAGAAATCCGTATTGACTGTTCTTGAGAATAGCTGATGTCTCATTAAAAATGCACATGCTGTTGCGACAGGTGTGCCTGACTGAAACTAATGCAGCAGCCTGGGAAAAAACTATCTTCATGAAGATTAACCTCCTATAAATAGGGTGGACAAAATATTAGAAACGCCTGCAAAACGACCACAAACTTAAATAAAGACATATTTGAAGCTGCTTCAATGAAAACGAAACACTATAGCTTCACTACATATGTGGGCCTGCACGTTTTAATTTTACAGTAACTTTAGTGACCATATTGACATTGCTTGATTGCAGTACATTTTATTTGAAAGTATTAACGGAAATCCTGTTTGTATTTTTTCTGGTTCGCTTGACAGCTGAATGGGTAGCTAACAGCAGGCGAGAAGTTTTCTGCTTGCACTTTACTAAAGTCAAGCCACATATATGTGCTACATCATGGAAAACGAAGTTAAATAAAAGGTCGCGCATTCTGTCGACACTGTAGGCACAAGACGTCTCGGCTGAATGTAACGGTAACTAGCTGCCAGTCGGTAACCTCGCTAACATGCGGGCTAATGATTTCCAAATGTGTTACTATAGCTTACTAGCTGTTAGCTTAGCTGGAGTCATCTACTGCTAGCTAACTATCAAAACAGTTGGGACGGCCTTCTGTGTAATAAAGGCGTTTAAAGTGCGCCGTTCTCTTAGTAAAATTTTGGTGGGAATAAGTGAGGTGATTTATACATCGTTAATGGCTCAGCGCCTGTGCTGATTGTAGCGTTAACCACAATTAACTTCATTTTATTCTCGTGACAGTTGCTGTACCCGGAATGTCACTCATAGTTTTCCCCTCCCCCACCGGCACAGCAGCCAATTGAATGACTTAAACAAAATGATTGAAGTACCTTGCTGCCAATAGCAACCTTACAAAAAATATGATGGCTCTCTTAGCAGTAATCGACACAGCGGGTGTCTTTTCCGGCGCAGACTGGGATGCTGATGCTGAGGATCCTCGTTCATCTGTAGAATCACTGTATCTAAATGTTTCTCGACATGTTCTATTGTCTAAAGTTGCAGCACTGTGTTGACCTCTGTTTGGGCAGCCTACTCTTGTTTTTAGCGGGGCTGCAGCAGGTGGAAGCAGCCGCCGCCACGGAAATGGCCAACTTGAACTGGAAGCCGTTCATCTATGGAGGGATGGCCTCGATTGTCGCAGAATTCGGTACGTGATGCACCAATACACGCAGACGCTGGCAGTCATGTATGTTATTGGATTTATATGCGATTATGACGCATTATAGTAATAGATATTTCACGCAAATACTCTTTTGAATTATCAGAAGTGATAGGTATAGGAAAATTCTGCACCAAAATCTGCTGAGTTATGGTAGCATTTGCTTCAAAAGGGGAATGATGCATCCTACCTTATTAAGTATCAAAGCTTTGTGGCAGTCATTATAATAATAAGTTAGAGTTTAGTCAGGTTGTTGGTACACAGATGTCATCATTACATTTGAGCCACAGAGTAAGGCACTAGTGTTTAAAAGAAAAATAAAATGCAGAACCCGTTTTCCAAGTTGCAGCTCTTTTTCCTAATTAATGATCTGAGCCAAAATTGAAAAGTTTTACTTTAGGTAATTTTTATGTATTGATGTTGCTTTTAATTATGTTCTTATATTTTTGTGTATTGTAAAACATAGAAGGAAATAGTGACAACTGGAGAGGGTCTTGGTCCATGTCCCATAATCCTAACTTTCTGGAACAAAGCATTAGGTGAATCCCAATTCCATGACTTTATTGCTCCTCCATCCTTGCTCTACCTGGAAGTCATTCCAATCCATCATGATGAAGGATGTCTTAAAGCTCTTATTTCTGGAGCCAGGGGGCCACCTGGAGGAGCTAAAACTGATGATAGAGAAGTGCATCTGCCATGCAAGTCTGTTACAGATTGACACACCCCTTTATTCACATGAAGGAGGAATTGTCATCTCATATCAGTTAAAACGTGTTTCCTTGGTTCCTCTGTCCTTACAGCATTTCTTTCTGTCTTACCTGGGCCGACTAAGACACAAAGAAAAGGTGCAATGAGGGAAATGTGGATGCAATCAGGGGAATTGGGATTCACCTATGGTGACACAGTAGATGTGGATGGGGCTGGACCTCCATCTCTGCCTTCATGTGGCCTGCAGCCAGTCCTATTTGGGGAAAAATCTTTAAAATGTATCACATTAAAAGTACCCTTACTTGCCTTTCTTCCATTATATTACTAGCATTGTCATTGTCAGCATCCTCATTGTTATATTTATCATCGCTACCTACCTCATCGGTCAGTCTCATACTCTATACATGGTCCATCTAACAGTACAACACATATACCCACAGTGTCTTCAGAAATCATTCAGACCCCTTTTTGCACATTTTAATGTATTATAGATTTCATTTGATCAATTTGATTGAATTGCCATTTTGCTCATTAATCTAGACTCAGTAACCCATAATGAAGTGAAAATACATCTTTACTACATATGTTGGCAAATATATTAAAAATCTAAACTAAAATTTCCAAAAGTTTAGAGGTCCTTTTGGCAGCAGTTACACTTTCTAGTCTTCTTGGGCAAGTTCCCACAAGCTTTGCATATTTGGGCATTTGATCCAAATATTATTCACATATCCTCTCAAGCTTGGTTAGACTGGATGGGAAGTACCTGCTAACTGCCATCCTCACAGATGTTGTAAGGGGTTTAAGTCTGGCCTTTGACTGGTCCTGAAGACCTTCTAAAGACCTTATCTCCCTCTGTGCCTTGAAAGTTACAAGGCACAGTATGCCTGCAATATAACTTCCTTTATACCTAACATCATCATCTTCAACACTGCTTTGTCTCTAATACCATAATTTTCTGTTTTCAGTTCATTTTTATTTTAATCATTCTTCTTTTTCTTCATATTTTTCATCCTCAGGGACATTTCCCATTGACCTAACTAAGACCCGGCTACAGGTCCAAGGTCAGTCTCAGTACACAGAGGTGCGCTACAGAGGCATGTTCCATGCCCTCTTCAGGATCGGCAAAGAAGAGGGTATCCGTGCACTATACTCTGGGTATGGATCCACTTTTAAAGGCATGCAGTACACAACACATTCTGTGTATACCCACAGTATTTTATTATATTTAATTTTTTGTCAGCCAATGTACATTACAATAGAAGGTATCCCCAGCCCCTGTTAGTTTATTGTCTTCTTCTCCTCATATTGGTGGGCCAAGTAGCAATTAGTGCAATGCCTCCCTCTGTGGATGGGGGGGAATGCCCACTTCAATGGTGACCGCAAATGTATTCCATTTGAAACTAGGTATAAATGAGCTTGTCTTTTGACTTTTAAAGTAATGAGTGTGATTCAGGTGTTTTGTGTCCACAGTTACTACGATTCTTCTCTACATTTGAGTAATACATAATAATTCTGAATTTTGCACTCCTTTGTGAAATTTTGTTGAATTGCATCCTAAGCCAAATGGAAAATATTTGGTGAGGAAAGTAACTGATAAGCAACTCATCTTCAGTTTATTCACAGGGTAAAGGTTAATAAGCATATTTTACTTCTCCTCTCAGGATTTCCCCTGCTCTTTTGAGACAGGCTTCTTACGGGACAATCAAAATTGGAACCTACAACTCCCTGAAGAGGCTGTTTGTCACTCGTCCAGAAGGTGGGTGTGACCCCTAAAATCCTGTGTTCTGCCTTTCTGTCAACCACCCTTATAAACTCTTTCATCTTAAGGGTCTAAACATGGTCTGCACACAGAGGAGGAGGCTAGCTTTTCAATCCATCCACAGGCTTCAGTTTGTTAATGCCATAACTGCAATCTTCAAAACATGTTTGACTACAAGATATTAGTCTGGAAAAACATTGATAGACAATCATTTGAGCGTGACAACTGTCCAGACAGTCAGCTATGGGAGGTGGATTGAGTGATGTTGACAACAAGTACCACTGTATATAAACATTTAGATTCATATTTGCATTGTGGCTCTGACTTGTTTAAGGGCCGATGTAAAGTACTGTATAGTTGGTCTCTTAGCATTATAAGCTCAGGCCAAAATCATAGTGAGCCCTCCAGGACTACAATGAATAAAAATCTTTAAAGCCACCTTGGTTTTCAGATGATAAAAAAAAAACTCTTAACTACTGACTGGCGAGAGCAAACCACCTTACCAGCAACAATAATAAGCCACTAGTGGCAGCACCTGGTTTTCTTAAATTTGCATTTTGGCCGATTGACTGATAGCATATCCAGAGTGAAGTGGAGAAAGAGTATGGTCTTAATATTTTACAGTCCCTTGACAAGTAGCCTTTAGTACAGTGTAGAAAAAGAACTCTCAAATGCAACACACCTTTGATTGAAGGTGGAAGATAAGTTGCTATGTAATTCCTTAACAAGTTGACATAATTAACCCTTCCGCGAGATGATGAATGAAATCCTGACATGCCTTTTAATGTGCAAAAAAAAAAAATTAAAAATCATCAAAACATGCATATGACCATTAAGATAATTCTGTGGCTTCATGGAGTAAAGAGCTACTCATCAAAATGGGCTCGAGCATGGCCCAAGCTTTAGTCATATGGTATACTTTTCTTGTGCATCTGAAGTATTTTAAATATGTTGTATTTATAGAACACCAAACCAACTCAGCGAGACACCAGAGCAGTGTGTCTGTTGGTTTCATGTTGTAGTGTGGAATAGCAAAAGGAAGTCAAGCATTTCACTTCAGCCTAAATGTATTTTCTGAAATTGATGTTAAATCCTTTTGGCCTTCAACAAATATTTGCAGAATAAGCATTAAATGTTTGCCAGGCAAGCGAACCAGGACATTTGTTTGAGGCTGTGCTTATGTTGCATTCTGCTTCTTCTTGTATTCCATTTCTTTTCATTGGGCTCCAAGCAGCTTTCATGCCTCAAACAATACAAACCCTTTGGAGGCCTGTGGGCTCAGATACATGCACACCAATTTACCCTGGTGATATTGGTGCAGTGACACTTGTCTTTACCAGCAGATGTTCATTATTTAGAATATTGGTCCAAGTATTGAAGTAATGGAGATTTGCAATAATGTTTTCAGAGATGTGAATACCAGCAGACCAAGCTGTCTCTGTCATGTTCTCTTTCCGTTTCATCATCGGATTCCGATTGCATCAGCACTGAGGTTTCCTGCTGTTTTGAATATTCGGATACCAAATTGAAAACCGATTACCTACCCAAACAACAAATATTGGAGTTGTCGAATATTTAGGTCCAGCTCTAGATGTGTCATGACATCCTGCCTGGAAACGGCGTGTTCACCTGCCAGCACTAATTTGCAAGCTGAACATGAAACAAAGAGCCTCTAGGAGAGGTGAGGGGAGCAACGGGATGGTTGAGAGTGTGTATCGGGTTACATTCACACTACAGCTGCAGGTGCACTGATGTGCTTTTCATCCTCCTCTCTGATATAGATCTGGTATTTTATACATTTTCCAAAGAACAAAATCATATTCATTTCATTGACAAAGCAGTGAACAAATCTTTCCTTATTGAAGACGATGTTCAGGGAGACCTCTCAGAACAGTTAAGACCTTGTAGCATGACTGGAATGTGTGCAAAGGTAAGCATTAAGAAAATGTCAGAGATTGAGGGGGACCAAGTAGATTTAATTAAAGTACATTTTTGTTAAATGAAAACTAAAAATATTAATTGGTAAGTCATACAATAGAACATTCACCTGAAACTACTGTCAAAATAACTTATAATACATGAGTATTTTCTGCTTATCTTCAGGCTTTGGACTGTAGTTAGGCAAAACAAGGCATTTAAAGATGCCACCCTTGGCACAAAACGACCACAAAATGATTAATCAGCTAATTGAGAAAATAATAAGCAGACTAACTAATTGTAGATTCATATGAGATGTTTAATTCCCATGAATATTAGCTATATAATCGGTGATGTGTGCAGGTGCATCAGTTTCTGTTTTGTAAATCATGCACTTGTTCTCTTACAGCCTTTAGATTTACTGTGTGCACCACATGGCCCAAAAAGGGGACGCACAGGCACCTCACATAGCAAAAGAAAGGGTTGTGCTGTCAGGAGCTCCATCAATCACTTCATCCTCTGTGTTGACACATACACAAAGTCACTTCAGTTATCAGCCAAAATGGGTTTGCGCTACATTTATCAGTGATTGGCTGGCGCCAGCATGATTCTTATGCTCATAGGAAATTTGTGCCTACAGGCTCTATCTCTTCCTCTATTACCTCTCTGTCTGTGTTATCATTTCTCATTTTTCCTTTCCCATTAATTGGTTCCTTCTGTATCTGTCACTGCTTTTCACTGCTGCTCTTCAGCAACCACACCCTTTTTTTCTTTGTTCTTTCTCTCTCAAGTTGCTTTTTCCTCTTCTCGTGTTCTCTTTTCCTCCATCCCTCTCAATATTTTATGGCCAGATAGTGTGCATAACATAGACAATATGAATAATAGAGTAGATCACAGTAAAAGAACAGAACTTGGTTATGGGGAAGGAAAGGGGAAATAGTTTTGTATTGTTTGCATTTCCGTCATTTGTGAGGATTTTCCTTGAAGGAAATTTGCTTTGCTTAAAACTCAGGACATGCTTAGCTTAGCTTAGCAGAAAGACCAGAGACAAGTGGGGGTCAGCTAGCCTGTCACTGTCTCTCGGTTAAGCAGCAACAGTTTATCCATTCACCTGGTACTTCTATGCAGCATCTCTGACTATAGTGCACGTTGCTAGACACAACAGTGAGAGTGGATTTTGGTCTCCATGTAGACAGGGAGATAAAAAAATAAATCCTTAAACTTTGGATAGAGTCCAGTTAGCCATTTCCCCCCTGCTTCCAGTCTGTGTCCTCCAGCTCTGTACTTAACTCTGTGCTTAACACAGACATGAGAGGACTCACATTCAGTGTGTATTGCATCTGTCTGCCTCTCACAAAGACAACAGTGGGAGTGCCAGAAAAGGCTATTCGGGCCCTTATCCCACACACAGATGTCTCAGAAAACAGTTCCCACTCTGCATAACTGGACAATGACACAGACAAGTCCCCATAAGCTAAAATAGACAGTTACATGAGCTTGAATTCATACATCACATCGATCTGTTTTCTGAATAAAATTTCCAATAGGCTACAGAAACGTTGCAATGAAAAAATGTAATACCACCATTAAACTTACAAAATAGGATGTCACTTGCATAGTTTTTTGCATTTTAAGCATACAATTTACCAATTCATACACATTAAAATAAAATTACAGGAATTCAATGCAGACTCTTGTATATGTTACCTTTGCTGTTTATTAGCATGGCTGTACTGTACATATCAAATGAGATCAACTAAGTATTTACTGCTATGCTATACTAATTCAAGTCTTGTAGTTGTATTCTGTTAATGTTAAGTTCTTTGCCATGCAGTTTAAAGATAAGTTTAGAGGTAACTGTGATTATTATGGACAGATTATTTACTACGCATTAAATCCTGTTGTGTTTTCTTCTGCATGCAATGTGTCAGCACCAGTAAACCAGGGTAAATGTCTTGTGCAATAAGTGTACTTATTAAAATAATATTGATTCTCAGTCTAAAGAGAAAAGGGTGATTTGAAGGAAAGGGGTGCAGGGTGGAAGACTAGTGAGCAGATAAGGTTTTGTTGTTGACTCGCTTTCTTTATTGTTCGTTTTGCCAAAATACTAAGCACTCCTTTTTGTTTGTGTTGATTGTTTGCCTTTCCACTCTGCATGCCCTGTGCCACATTGGTGCCACTGTGTTTTGAATGCTTGTTTTGATGCAGGCTTGGGTTTGCACTGTGGTTGTGGTGGGATCGAACACCCCTTCCTCTGCCCAAAAAATGAGCAGCGCGAGGAACGCCACTCTATCTGTTGGTCAGATTGATCAAGGATTACTGTAACTATTGTTCTAAACTCACATTTTTACTTTGTCTCCTTTACCTTTTTCTTCTTATTCAACTCTAAATATTATACTGGGTCACTACTAATGAGATCTGCCACTTTCTAACACTGACAAACTCTGCTGCGGCTAATGGCTAACAATGGTTACTGTTTACTGAAAGCCTATGTGTAGCAGTAGTCAAATAATTCTGTGTTTGTTTTGATCTGCTTGCAGCGCCAGGCAGGTGGAGTTCATACACAAGAGAAAGTGTGAGACTTTTTGAAGGGTCAACAAGTCTAACTTTGTGGTCAACCACTTAAGTATGTTGATCATGATACAGTTAACTCCACCCATGTGGTGCTCCAAGTGGATTGATGCAAATATGAACACTTGTATGCTAATAAAATTAAATTATAGCCTACATAACCATTTCTGATTGCTGACAGTGCTTATCTAGGACTTAAATACAGTGTAGTTGTATGAGGCTATAGACAAAAGATGCCCTTGCTGAAAATGATTTCTTGTGTGTAAGTTAATATTTTCTTTATCTTTTTCTGATTTTCTCTGAGGTAATAGAAATTTAAAATGTCTTTGTGCTTTGCTAGAATCACATAGGTGTTTTCGGTTGCTTTGTGTTGCAAGTGTGAATAAACAGTCTTTTTGCCTCTTTCCTGACAGATGAGACCATGGTCATCAATGTCTTCTGTGGTGTCGTGTCTGGAGTCCTGTCCTCCTCTCTGGCCAACCCCACTGATGTCCTTAAGGTGATTCTTAATGCTGGGGACAAGGCTTAGACCAAAATACTGTATCTCTTTGCAAATATATCAAGGCAATGTGTAGTTAATCCTTTACCTTGTAATATGGTCCTTGATTTACAGCAGTGTAATGTGGAAATCATTAATAAATTAACAGGAAAGTAATGGATGATTGTCTATAAAATCGGTTGTTGAAGGTCACTGATGAAGTGAAAACTCGCTCACTCAGAATATGAAGATGAAATTGTTAAGAATTAAGATGTCATGTTGGAATAATCCATAGTGTCTCTGGTAAAAATGAATCTTTATAAAGTACTCCACTGTGAATTGAGAGAAAAGGGGTTTGTTTGAACATTTTTTGTCTTTGTTCCAGATTCGAATGCAGGCACAGGGCAGCCTGCTCCAAGGCAGCATGATGTCCAACTTCATCAACATCTACCAGACAGAGGGCACCAGAGGGCTGTGGAGAGTGAGTGTTGACTCGGCTCTGTTCACCAAGTTGTATTGTAATGGTGTTGAAATCAGATTAATTTTGTTAATCCTCTTCTTCTTCAGGGTGTCATTCCCACAGCACAGCGAGCAGCCATTGTCGTTGGGGTGGAACTTCCTGTTTATGACATAACAAAGAAGCACCTCCTTCGCTCTGGCCTCATGGGAGACACCATTTTGGCACATTTCATGCAAGTATTTATTCCCAGACATATTTTTCAGGTCAAGGGTGGTCATCCATTATGATAGCGCTTCAGGCTGGTTATACTGTGTTGCAGTACAGTGCATTAAACCAGTAGATAGTTTTTTTTATTAAGGGGTGGCAATTTGAATGAAATTCCACAAGTTTGTTAACCTTGTTTTGTGTACACATGTGCAGTTCAAGTTTCACGTGTGGCTTGGCGGGAGCGCTGGCCTCTAACCCTGTAGACGTTGTCCGGACCCGTATGATGAATCAGCGCGTTCTGTCAGGAAGCCCCATATACAAAGGAACACTGGATGGATTGATGCAGACGTGGAAGAACGAAGGCTTCTTCGCTCTATATAAGGGATTCTGGCCTAATTGGCTACGACTGGGACCTTGGAACATCATTGTATCCTTTTAAAACCTACAGTTACCAATTTATAGATGGGGAAAATACAAACTTTTGATCATTTCTGGTTCTTGGAGAAAAATGGATTATTATGTCAGTATTGTATGTCACAATCAGCCTGAAGTAACACATTGCTTCATAACACAATATAGTAATGTGATAGCTTTTGTCTCTTTTACATGCATAATGGATATTTTTGTCAGCTTGTTTATTGTCTTACCAGGAGGTAACACTAGATGTTAGTTTGATATCAGCTCGGCTGTCTTGACAGCCTGGCCTGGTTTGACACACAGGAGAATTTGGGTGAGAAGGTTAGCCTCTACCAACAGAGGAGAACTTCTGGTCACTCCTAAGAAGTTATTTAAATGTTGTATGTTCTTAGAGGCTTGCTAACATTAGCCACAGTCACATCTGTGGTCTTTCTTAGCCAGTCCACAAAGCAGCTCCTGGCTGTATATAGTTGTAATACGTTTTGTCAAGTTTTCCTTAATATGCTTCAGTTCTTCATCACCTTCGAGCAGCTGAAGAAGCTCCCATTTTAACACGAGCAGGAAATGGGACTTTGCTAGACTGTGTCGGAGATAACTGGGGTGTGAGCGCTGCAGCACCTGGAGTTTTGGCACCAGTACATTCACACTCCCCCTTTAAATACAGTATCAGTAATACAGCACACATCATCACCTGCACATGTTCATCCAAATGTTATACAGATTTTTTTTTTTTTATATAAGAAAGTTTTTATTTATTGTCACTGGTTCTGTTTTCATGCTGTTTTAAAGACTGGTACATTGATAATTACTTTGACACTGCCTAGGCAGCTAAATGTTTGGTTGTAGCTGAAGACAAAGTAGTGAAGGCTAGGTTTCTTTCCTTCAGCTAATGGGAAAGACAGTTTAGAGCTGTGGTTTGGCTGAATGTTGGCTTTTTTTTAAACAATTGTTACATCAGGATTACTGCACAGGTCAGAAAAAAACATTAGAAATGAATTTATTAATAAGCCTACGCACTTGATGATGTCAGTTCAGACATATGACTATACAGTTTGTGGGGGGGGGGCAAGAAAAGAATATGAAATTTGAAAGTGAGCAGTTTTTATGGCATAGGCACTGCATGAACTGTGCCTAGAACATAACCGATTTCAATGTCAAATGTTCAGGAATTGCTTGGAAGAGTTGTAGAAATGATAAAGTGACTGTTACAAGTAGTTCATGTACTGACAGCCAACAGTGCAATATGCTTGACCACTGGGTTCACAGTGAAAGAATGGAGGAAATAATGCTCAGCAGTACTCCAGAAAGTTCAGCTTTGCGTCCACTAGGCCTTCACTAGGCCTCAGGAATTCTTCATGCGGTTTTAATTACACTCAATACATAAACTTCAGAATGAAGTTGTACTTGAAACTGTCCAAAATCTGAACCAAAACCCCTAAAAAAACAAAAAGTAGGCGCTCTTTTGTCTTATTCATTCAGAACCAAAACAGTTTTTTGTTTTCTTTTTTGAAACATTGACTCCAGATTAGCTGTAGAAACCTTTACCTCCAGTCAGCTGCAGGATTAGGTGATGAGCTGTGAGCAGACCTTGCTGCCATAATGATCCAGAACTGTACAGACTGATTCACATGCAGGTGTGGATGTATTTTATCTTCAGTATGTCCAGATGTACATATGCCTCGTTCCTGTTTTTTTTCCTTTCACCGTTGTGTCCCAGGTTTCATGTAAAGTCAAGAAATTAATGAAAAACAGGCAGCTTGTGTGGATTGAGTGTGTAAAAGAAGGCCTTTGTGCCAAATGCATTTCTACCAACTGGGTGAAACTTATTTACAGATAATACTTTAAGGAAGTTTTGTTTACAGCTGCTCTGGGTCCCTGTAAACTTTGGTTTGCAGGAGAAAGTCAGTGGAGTTGGAATAGATGACTTGTCTGAAACATATTTGAATTTTGTGACACATTCTCTAAATTCGATCCATGTAAAACAGATTTTAATAACTTGTTTTTATTCTGTAGCTATAAAAGATGATCTCCACAGTGATGCTGCAAAATTTTGGCAATAGAAAATTTCCTTCCTTCGATTTGCACAGCACTGGAGTGTAGCCTCCACCCTAGCCGACCTTTCTCTTTGATCCATCTGCATCACTGAACATGTTTTTAATATCAAATGTTACATTTTGAAATTAATTTTAGTACCTTTGTTGAGCTGACAGCTTTAAATTTCTCAACACTGGTCATCCCGATCACGGTCCCTCACAGAAGCAACAAACAGTGCTTTAAATTGCTGAGATTAGTCACACGATTTTTGTTGTCACTTGCCATAACACTCCCCCATTTTTTTAAGGCAAATGTTTTTCTCTGCCTGCCTTTAGGTCAGTAAAGTCTCTGCTTAAGTTACAGTAGTATCACAGCATACAGTACAGTACTGCAGTGAAAACGGATTTGTTATATGGACTGAAATGTTCTCTCAAACATTTTGGTCTCATCTAGTTGCATTGAGCAGATGGAGCAAATTAAGATACAGAAAAATCTCAATTGTTTATCAAGCTGGTTATAAAAGTAGTTTTTATGCTAACCAGCAACTTGCTTAATGTGTTCCTTGCACATTGTTGCTTTATTTTTTCTCCACCTTCATTGTGTATGCATGTGTGAGAAATGTATGTGACATCTGTTAAGTCCACACTTGATTCATAGCAGGGTGTATTCACTTTAATGTTACATGAACTGTCAATGTCTAATCATTTGAAATATTCCTGCAGTTTATGTTGATCCGATTTGCCATTTAAATGATTCATCTATTTACTTGCACAGAACTGACTTGGTCAAACCTCAGGTGGTTTATGAGCCACAGACATGCTCCAAATACAGTGGTGTGACAAAGTGTTTGCCCCCTTACTGATTTCTTATCTTTTTGCATGTTTGTCACACTGTAATGTTTCAGATCATCAAACAAATTTAAATATTAGTCAACGATAACACAAGTAAACACATCATGCAGTTTTTAAATGAAGGTTTTTATTATTAAGGGAAAACAAAATCCAAAACTATATAGCCCTGTGTGAACAAGTGTTTGCCCCCCTGTCACAACACTGGTTTATCGCACCTGAGTTCAATTTCTCTAGCCACACCCAGGCCTGATTACTGCCACACCTGTTCGCAATCAAGAAATCACTTAAATAGGACCTGCCTGACAAAGTGAAGTAGACCAAAAGATCCTCAAAAGCTAGACATCATGCCGAGATCCAAAGAAATTCAAAACCAAATGAGAAAGAGAATAATTGAGCTCTATCAGTTTGGAAAAGGTTATAAAGCCATTTCTAAAGCTTTGGGACTGCAGCGAACCACAGTGAGAGCCATTATCCACAAATGGCGAAAACATGGAACAGTGGAGAACCTTCCCAGGAGTGGCCGGCCGACCAAAATTACCCCAAGAGCGCAGCGACAACTCATCCAAGAGGTCACAAAAGACCCCACAACAACATCCAAAGAACTGCAGGCCTCACTTGCCTCAGTTAAGGTGAGTGTTCATGACTCCACCATAAGAAAGAGACTGGGCAAAAATGGTTTGCATGGCAGAGTTCCAAGACGAAAACCACTGCTGAGCAAAAAGAACATAAAGGCTCGTCTCAGTTTTGCCAGAAAACATCTTGATGATCCCCAAGACTTTTGGGATAATACTCTGTGGACAGACGAGACAAAAGTTGAACTTTTTGGAAGGTGTGTGTCCCATTATGTGTGGCGTATATGTAACACCGCATTTCAGAAAAAGAACATCATACCAACAGTAAAATATGGTGGTGGTAGTGTGATGGTCTGGGGCTGTTTTGCTGCTTCAGGCCCTGGAAGACATGCTGTGATAAGTGGAACCATGAATTCTGCTGTGTACCAAAATATCCTGAAGGAGAATGTCCGGCCATCCGTTTGTGACCTCAAGCTGAAGCGAACTTGGGTTCTGCAGCAGGACAATGATCCAAAGCACACCAGCAAGTCCACTTCTGAATGGCTGAAGAAAAACAAAATGAAGACTTTGGAGTGGCCTAGTCAAAGTCCTGACCTGAATCCAATTGAGATGCTGTGGCATGACCTTAAAAAGGCAGTTCATGCCCGAAAACCTTCCAATGTGGCTGACTTACAACAATTCTGCCAAGATGAGTGGGCCAAAATTCCTCCACAGCGCTGTGGCAGACTCATGGCAAGTTATCGAAAACGCTTGATTGCAGTTGTTGCTGCTAAGGGTGGCCCAACCAGTTATTAGGTTTAGGGGGCAAACACTTATTCACACAGGGTTTTGTAGTTTTGGATTTTGTTTTCCCTTAATAATAAAAACCTTCATTTAAAAACTGCATGATGTGTTTACTTGTGTTATCTTTGACTAATATTTAAATTTGTTTGATGATCTGAAACATTACAGTGTGACAAACATGCAAAAAGATAAGAAATCAGTAAGGGGGCAAATACTTTTTCACACCACTGTATGTTCAGTGAACCTGAACACAGTTCAGCTGGTGTTGCTTTCCACTACTGCTTTGATTTCTTTAAAAGTATTTAATGCTGACAGTGGCATGTTATGTTTTAGGTCTTGTAAGAATTTTTGCTTTTGATTTCAACTGTTACCAGGTGCTCTGAGGCTATCACATTATCAGCTCTTCTCTTATTTGCATAATTCGTCCTGATTGGCAGCCTTGTTCATGGTGTTGTAGAAAACACTCCAAACTAAAGTGAAATGAACTATGAAAGCTAAAGGAGTACAACTGAAGATTTAAATGTATTTACATGTCTAAATCCAGAGTGGCTGCAGGGTTGGGTTGGTTGTTATTTGCTTTGTTTTTTGCATAAGTGACCTAAATTATTTAAGAATAACTCTTCATTTTGGGAAATTTGCAGGAAAAGTGTTTTAAGAGGAGTTATGATCAAGGCAAATTTATTTATATAGCACATTTTCATACACAAAGGCAATTTAAAGTGCTTAACATAATGCGCACAAATAGATAAAGCATTCACATGCATACATAACTTGACTGAGCCAGGCAGTGACTTCCCAGAAGTGTTGAGCAGACGCATAAGCTATTATCACTCAATAGTGCATAACTCCACAAATTAACATTTATACAATTTTTGTTTCTGAGTGTATTCTACAAAGGAGTTATGTGTCAAAGACCACATCTGATTTGAAAGCTTCTTTCAGAAAACATGTTTTTGTGCAGATTGTGATTTATTTATTTATTTGCTTTAAGGTTTCAACCCTTTAAACCAGGGCTGAATGATGCTTGAACTTGATGCTTTATTTAGTTATATAGTAGTACTCCATAGTAGTTACAGTACTTGTCACAACCTAAACACACTTGTCCTTCAAATTTTCCTGTTTTTCTACCTTTGAATGAACAAAGCCTGTTTTACATTGTGTTTTCCTACCTAGAGCATAATTTTCTTGTCCCATGTCGAACAAAACTAAAGCACTGTTACTCTGATCGAAGTAAGATCATATTAGCCAGTAAATTAGTACTGGATTTCAGTCAGCATCATTCCTCCTGATCATGGCAGAAAAACAACCCAAAAACCTACAGGCTGATTAAAATAGTTGAGTCTTTCATGTATTGGTTTGATTGTTCAGTGATACTTTATAAATGAATTGTTCATGGAAGTAGTACACACTTTAAGCTACATCTGTAAAGGAGGAGCAGCTTATGATCTCTGCTTCTGTCCAAATGCTGTTTCAGAGGCTTCAGTTGAAGAGAAGAAAGTCTGTTTATATTTTTGTGAATATCCTCATCACTTCCAATGATCATTCATACTTTGGTGTCTGCTCAGCTTGTCGCACTGCTGGCTATAAACCTCTCACTTGTTTTCTAGATGAAGTTCTATGGTTTTAACTGGAGTGCTTTTCTTTTCTTGAACAGAATAGGTTTGGCTTTCTATAACTTCAACGTGCACTCAAATAAAATATATAGTGTGATTGTTTCTCTGTCACCTCATTTCTTCTGGCTCATAGTTGGGAAGGGAAGATCAGTTTCATGGAGAATGAAGATTAAAATTCTTTAGTGAGTTGGTGCGTCTGGATAGAAGTTCAAAGGTTTTACTGGTGTGTCATGTCTGCTTTTCACCACAAGATGGACCTAGAATAAAAAAAAACTGACAGTGAATTATTTACATAACACATAATATAAAGCAGGGACAGTATGAAAAATAATAATAGAACCAAATTTTAATTATTGATTCATCAGTGAAGCATTTTCTCAGTTCATCACTGAAAGATGTGAGAAATAGAAATAATTATACCCATTATAGTTCTTCAGAGCCCAAGATATCTTTAAATGGCTTGTTTTTGCAGGGTGACACCCCACAACCAAAATCTTTTTCACTTTAATTATGTGACAAAGTGACATGTTCACACGTGAGAAGCTGTAATCATTACATGTCATGTTGCTCAAAAAAGCTGAAACAATGATAGTTGATTTTCTTATTCTGGGAGTTTTTCTGGCTTTTCTGAAACACAGCCGATCTAAAAAATTTCTACAGCAGCTGAGAAAAGTCTGAGGTTCAGATTTTCAGTTGTCACCTGTGTGAGCAGATGGAAAAACCACTAGTTCACTAAAGCGATAAAAAAATGAACCGATGTATTTTGGAGTAGTGATATTTAAGATTTTTTTGTTCAAATGCTTATGAAGCAGAAATACTCTTGACTCGTGAAGTTGGGCAGTGATTACAATGATGACAAAGTTGATGTCAGGTTCCATTATCAAGTAATGGTTTTATTTTATATAAAATATTTTCTCTTGATTGTTTAAAGTAAAGGAATCAAACTGATTTCACTCAAACCTTAATTAACTCTACATAGAGTGATATTTGTGAAACTCACATCAAACCCATGCAGAAAGGTAATTCTTTAACTTCTCTTTTATCTGCTGGGAATTTAAAGCCAAATTTACTATCTTACTCTTTACACTTTGAAAATGCCGGTGCTGCCATGCACAGAGAGAGAGAGAGTCATTAAGTCTCAGCGAGATTCAGGTGCGCCAGCTTGTCACACAGCTGAACTGTGGTTGTATTAAACCATGAGAAACAGAAGGGAGTGACTTTTTACTTTCTGATGTATGTGAGGTTTCTACTGCTGTCATATGTGGATTTAGCTATATGTAGATATATATGCTTTGTTATTTATTAGTGTGTGAGTATTTGAAATTGCAGTTGAGTTGACTGTAGAACTTCAGCAGCAAATATGTTTGCTTGAGTTGTCTGGTTTTCACTTTGTCTTGTTTTATTTTTGCTTTTCTGTAATCGTAGGATCAGCCTACATGTGTTTTATGTAGCTTTTAACAATACAGGTTTGAGTGTGTTGAGTCTCATCAGGCTGATTAAACTAGAGTTTAGGGAGGGACTGAGTGTTTGTGCGCACACATATGTAATTATGAAGGAGGAGATTGCTGCTGCCGTGTTTTTTGTGGCTCGGTTGGTGAAGAGATATGGCTGTGTGGATAATGACAGCAGGGAGCGCTTTGCTGCTGCCCTCACCTCAGTTCTGTTTGAGAACTACAAGAACCACTGGCACCCAAACACACCCACTAAAGGACAGGCATACAGGTCAGTAAACCTTCAAGAAAACAGGACCTTTTTTTTCCCCTCCTTGTATCACTGAGCTCCAGTTAATTTGATATTCAGTTGTGCTAACAAATCATCAGTAATGCTGATGAATATTATGATTCTATTTATTCATTTGACAAAGAACTTGCAAGTTGGAGCTACTTTGTTAAATCCTACCACAAAGCTGGGTGCCCCCAGTCAACACCACTAAAATGTTGCAAATCCTATTAATTTAATGCAATTTTATCTAAAGCCAAAGAAAAATGAAACTGAATTTTCCTTTTTTTATTTTTATTTTTTTTTTGCTGCCGCTGTGTTTTTCAGGTGTCTGCGTATGAACCGTGTTCAGCTGCAGGACCCTGTGCTACAGCAGGTTTGCGAGCGGAGTGGGGTGCAGTACGACGATCTGGGCCTTCCCCGGGAGCTGACGGTGTGGGTCGACCCTGGAGAGGTGTCCTGCAGGTCAGGCGGCTTCACCCTGTGGAGCTAAGATCACATTATACAAGGTCCCAGGCTCAAGAGTTGTAAGGGTCTCTATATTTGCCAGATTGTGTAGAAAACTGCAGCTCTTCACTGGTTCTGTGTTGAAAAAAAGTTTTCTAAGCCTAAACTTTTTCCAGGACAGACCTGCTGCTCTGTTTCAAAATTCAGTTTGGAGATTTTAAAGTTATTTGCAGGGAGGAAATGTACTGTGACATGCATAACTGTAATGATTAAGGGGGTGAAAGACATCAGCCATGTAAATATTTCATTGTTTTAATCAGGCATGACACTATGATTGACTAGATGCTTAAATCAGCTTTTTATTACCAGTTAAAATATGGTTTGGGTTCTCTTCTTTAGGCTGTTTATTTCACCTTGCAGGTATGGTGAACACAGCACTCCCTTCTGCATCTCAGTGGTGGACAGCTGCCAACGTGGAGATGGGGAATTTTCTCGCCGTGTCCATGATGCTGTGGAGCGGGCAAGCCTTGACATCCCATCAGGAAGCTCATCAGATGAGGAGGATACAGGAGAGGACAACAGTGTGAGCAGCAGCAGCAACAGCAGTGGTGGACTGTCAGCTGCCTGCCCTGCTGCCATCCCATCCACCAACCCTGAACCCAAAACCATTCCAACTGTCAGCAACCCCAACAGTGTCTACCGGGTAGGTTGACTAGTTTAATGCCTGTGTTTTTTAAATCTGTAATCTTGATCTTTTTGTCATCTTAACTGTGCCTACACAGAAATTAAACTATAGAAAGCAAGAATTTTTAAGATGCGTTTTGCAGAAATGTCCAGCAATGATGGCCTTGTGATAATATTGCATATCAGGATCTTTTAATTTTTAATGAGATTGTTAACATCGGTGAGAACTGAAAGGTTTGGCAATTTATCATGAACAGTACTTGACATATTTTACCTACCAATATGAGTTTTGAGTTCATCTCTAATATAACCGGAAAGCATCATTGCATTTTGTGTGAAACAAACTTATCATAGTTGTCAGATAAATGTAATGGGAGTAAAGTATATTTCTCTGAAAAGAAGTGGAGTAGAAGTGTTATGTACAATGCTTGTGGAAATGTACTATTGCGTTCCACTCCTGCTTTCCATCATGTCCTCTGCTCCTCCACCCTCAGTTCAGTGAGTATTCTCCTGGCGCCCCTCAGACCTGGCTAAGAGAGAAGCGGAAGCCATTTGCTGGGGATGCATTCCCACCACACGTGGCTCCAGCTGGTGGTCCAAGTTCCCAGTTCTCTGGCCAGAAAGGCTTCAAGCCCTATCGAGCCACATTTACCTTCACAGGGCCTCGTGTTGACAAGTACCACTGGGTCAGCAAATCCCGATCCTAGCAAGTCCAGTCTGCAGCCTAGAAACAGAACCAGGTTGCTGCTTGGATGGCAGATATAACGCTGGTTCAAAGAGTATCTGTGGGGGAATAATATTTCAGGACAGTTTGTATCTTTAAGCATATGAGTTTATTCAAACATGGTTTAAAGTAATGATTTATGCTGTTCAAGCATGGTTTTTAAACATTGAAATATTCATGTTTTAACTAATCCCTCATTTCTAAATGTTTTTAACTAATATTGAAGTACATGTGAATAAAGTAACGCAACTGTCATTGAAAAGATAAATTGCTGTCAGGTCTGTTGGTCATTCTAAAGTGTTTCCTCTTTCATCTTTTCAACACACCTTGATGGCCTACTGTTTACACTTGTGGTAAATTCATCCTAAATGTCCATCTCTAAAAATCGGTGCATTACATTTGTTCCCATAGCCAAGCGTAGCACAGGTCTTTACCCATATACTCTTGGTACTGCAGTTAAGACACTTGCTATGTGGAAGACACTTTTCATCTCAGCTAGAAACTTGCCTGATTAGTTTGTCCTGGATTTGGAAGTACTGGTATCAAAATATACGTAAAAGTACAGAGTTACAGCATTCATACCACAAAAGACTTGATTGATAATGTAACTGTCCTCACAGGCTTTATATGACTGAAAATGTAGTTGTTAAAGTAGCATTTTGCCCCTGATAAGACATTAGCCATTATGCTGCTAGAATAAAGTCTGTATGCAGTCTTGCTACAAATTCAAGGGTACCACAAATGTGCTTCTGCAGTTGACTCAAACTGATCAGTTTTTGTGAGCACTATCTTGCAATCTGTTAGCAAAGCTGGACTCCAAAGCCCCAGGTTTACTGTATTTCTAATTACAAAATTTAATCGCAAATATATTAAATTTATTTCATGGAACAGCACATGATGTGCCCTCTCTCCATCCTGCAGAGCTGATTTTGAAGGAGGAGTCCAGTTAATCTGGCTTTGACAGTTTTTCTCCATTTGTACAGAGTTGTTTCATCTAATGGCTTTATTTTGCTCTGTGTGTCAAAATTAACACGCATAAAACCTTAGTATTTCATCACAGAAATGCTGAAAGACTGCAACCCATGAGTGGTTATCTATATTTTGACAGTTTTCTTTAATCGGTCGTTTGTGTATCGTCATTCGATTTCTATAAAAAAAAAATGCTCACCGAACAAAATATAGCTATAAAAACAGCCATTATCATAGCATTACGGCATATATTCATTCGTTCATCAAAATGGGCTATTAAATATTGAACAACAGTTAGAGGGCAGGAAGCAGGAAAGACATTTGGCTCTTGTAGTTTTTTGTCATCAGTGAGAGCAATCGACCAATGTTATGACGCTTTTATTTGAACACGAGAGCTTTACATCCAATCACAGACCGTCTTATTACAACGTGTCCCAACACTCGGTCACATCCGGTCGTATATATGTTGCCACGAGTTAGCGGTGAATTTGGAGAGTGTCCATTTTGAGCGTATTGGCGTTTTTGACATTTTGTGTTAAAGTAAGCACGCCTTCATGTTTTTATTTGTGTAACGAAATATAGGTGACGAGGATCAGTAGAACATAGCGATTCGTTTCATTTGGTGTTTCCCATTGACTCACTTTTATCTGCGCTGTGTCGTTATGTTATTTCTTAATCTAGCTAACTGCGTGTTAGCTGCAGTGGTGCTAATATATATGCTAACGCTGTTATTAAGACGAAAGATTGGCTCGGTTACTGATTGTAACGATACTAGAAATTAAGACCTTGAAATGTTTGAGCTGAAATTCAGCTATTGTTTATAGTATTTACTGCCACCTTATTGGTTATTTTATCCAGGTGCAGGTCCCTAGTTGTTAGCTGGGCCTTCATTCTGCTCCGAGCGGCAATTAAGCAAAGCGCGGTCTGGTTGAACACTTAACGTGGTGGTTCACGCTGTTTTATTGCGAGTTTTAATTTGCAAAGTCTTTATAAACGTCTAAATATTCAGCCATATGCACTGTCGACTACTGCTATAAAACGGATGTTAAGCTAACTTAGGTCTATTATTACTAATATATGGAGTAACGATAAATGGTAAGAGATTAACATTAGATTGAACGGTCGGAGGCTATTTAGTAAAAATAGGTAAATAGCTTTTAAAATTTTCAGTTGATTTCTAGCCATCTTGTATTCGTTAAAAGTGTTATGCATATGTTTAGAGCTGAAACGATTAGACAACAGATTAGTTTATTGACAAAAGAGAAATGGTTATGTTTTGATACTCGATAATCGATTCGACGTTTTCAAGCATACGCCATACGTTTAGAAACATGGGTTGGCTCCTTTGTCACCATGTAGGATGAATATTTGGGGGGTTGTGACTCCTGATTGAACCGAACTGGGCATTTTAGAATGTCGCATTGAGCTCAGTGAAATTTTAAAAAGTTAAGTGTGTCATTGTATTTCATTAATTAAATGAAAGAATATTTAGCACATTAATCAATAAAAACAGTAACTAATTGCAGGCCTATAGGCTAGGTTGACAAGGGGGGCGAAGACTTCCGGGGAATGCAAAAACTCCCATTTCATTGTGTCCCAGTTGCTTTTTGTTAAATGGGTTACTTGCACACTTATTTGGTAGCAACTACAACAAAAGCAGGTCTTGCATTATTATAGAGGTGCAACAATTTGTTTAATCAATCACTCAGTGGACAGAAAATAATTGAACACTAGTTCAGACAGACATCTGTCAGTGATGGAGTGTACTGTTCACTCTTCACTGGTGAATTTGTGGGCCCATCTCTAAAGTATAATGAAGCTGTTATTTATAGTGCTCTGGAAGCACAATACTTGATAAGATAGGGGGCAAATGGCATAAATTGTAAAAATTATAATGAACAATGTAGGTAATTGTAAAAGATGGAAGTACTATTGCAGTTCATTGTGGACAAATGTCTACTAATAAGCAATAAAATTATCTAAAGATGTGACACAATTTGCTGTGGCACTGTTTGCGGTTCATACAAACAGTATTATTTGTCTTGTCTTATCTTAGTCTCTTGGACGAGTCCACCATTCACAATGGCAGATGCTGAAAATCTGCTCATGGAGATGTCAGAGCAGAATGGCAACGAGGGAGAGGAGGACCAAAACGGAGCCGAGCAGGAGCTGATGGGTGAAGAGGACAATGGCACAGATGGAGGCAAGATCGATGCCAGCAAAGGGGAGGAGGATGCTGGGTTAGTGTTTACCTTAAAGAGCATTCACACTTGAGCACTGTTGGTATTCAGTAAAAATGTAACTTCATGGAACTACATATATAAAACTATTACTTCTCATCCAACTGATAACAAGGATGTCTGTGGGTCAGGTGTTAAAAAATAAACAATGAGCTATATATTCTGTGTCAGCTAAGTATACCTGTACTGGTGAACAAGAGGGAATAAACAGGTGCTGTGTTTACAGTAAAATGTTCGTGGGCGGGCTCAGCTGGGATACAAGTAAAAAAGACCTGAAGGATTACTTCAGTAAATTTGGCGAGGTGTCAGACTGCACTATCAAGATGGACTCCAACACTGGCCGATCCCGAGGCTTTGGATTCGTTCTTTTTAAAGACCCTGCCAGTGTGGACAAGGTGAGTCATGATCACCCTGCAGCATTTTCTCATGTAATCATATTTAGGGTTGCAATGGCATGAGTTTTCAAGGTATACGGTGGTTCACAATTACTATCATCATCAGCTGCAACAACCCTTCAAGAATTGAAAACAAGTCTTTTTTTATTGTGACTGTGCCAGTTGATCGCACCACTAGACTGACCCTAAAGAATGAACACAATTGTAAACATGATGGGGGAGGGGGGAAGCATACAAGATGTTGTGTAATAAAAACATGTTAGTTTGCATGTTGGTACCTGTAGCCTGTCTGCCATTTGTCTGCTGCATGTGCGCGTGTGGTGCCGGCTGTGAAGTCTGTCAGGGAAAAAAGATGTGCACACATTTTTTTTTCTTCAATACCAGTAATAAGCAAACGTGCATGGTATGATTAACCTTCAATTTTCATACAATGGTTTACTGTGAAACCAGTATATTGCTGCAACCCTGATCATATCACAGAAGTCAGTCAACACATTAAAATGCTGATTGTTCTGTTGTGGTCAGATTAGGCAGTACTGGCATGATGAACACCTGCATCTTTGATAGTTATTCACTGTATTTCATTAATTTCTCAGCATGAACTAGACAGGTCATGGAGTGAAGAGTGTGTAGAGCTGTTTTAATCAGATATCAGGTTGTTCACTCATGGGTTGGTCTGATTTACACAGTGTGGTTGACTTCCAATCCAGTATTAATTAGTGTGCAGTTCTTCAGTAAGGTGAAACTCAAAGCAGTCATGCTGATCATTTGTGTTGCTTAAAATAATTGATATGATCCCATGCTGCTGTTAGTGTTGCTCCATGTTCTTTGCTCATTAGTGTGATTGCTGTGTAGTTGTGCAACTAGTTAATGACGCATATGACTACAGGTGCTGGAACAAAAGGAACACAGACTGGATGGACGTCAGATTGACCCTAAGAGGGCGATGGCCATGAAGAAGGAACCCGTCAAGAAGATCTTTGTTGGGGGGTTGAACCCAGAGGCAACAGAGGACGCCATCAGGGAATATTTCGGAGCCTTTGGAGAGGTCAGTCTTACTCAGCAGAGCCACTAAAAACACACTTGTCCTCCACATAGATCACAGTAGACCCTGTGTAGTTCTGTATGTTCGGGTTTGCGTATTCAAGAGGTTCATTGGTTGTTGGTAGGAAAAGGTGCTGATCATTTTTTTCAGAATTAAATGCAAGTTCAGTGGCACTAGAGGAGATTGAGCAGCCACTGTTTGATATGATCACTTTTTAGGTATGAGCACAAGTATGTGCAGAATTGTGAAAGGTGTGTGGTTGATTCCATTTTAGTCTTATGACTTATTATTATATTGTTTAATCAGCCTAATCCTTGAGCCAGATATGGGCGCCTTTTCCTAATTGTGAGCTACTGGCTAATAAACAAGTGGCTGAGTGAAACAAAGTTATAGATTCATCTGAGAACTGGTTTCCTTTGGAAAATAAACGATTTATCAGCCAAAAGTCTGTCTCACCCACACACACAATGACCTGACACAAGCGTCATTTGTACTGAATGCTAAAAATATTTAAATGAGAGGTACATGGATACATCATTTGGAAAATATAAGAATCTCGTCTTAATGGTATGCTGAAGTTGAACTGCACACTTTTCTTCTTTCCAGATTGAAACTATTGAGCTTCCCATTGACCCCAAATCGAAGAAAAGGAGGGGTTTCATTTTCATCACATACAAAGATGAAGCCAGTGTCAAGAAATGTCTGGAGAAGAAATACCACAGCATCCAGGGTGGCAGAGTATGTACATACGAATTCATACTTTCAGCAGCTTTGCATGATTCATGACATCCCCCTGTTTCTGGCTCATCACTGTCCCAGCTTTGTGTAGGATGCTACCATGTGACCAGTGAGGCCTTGGTCCTTTAGTGAAGACTGTGGTTTTTTTGTTATCCTAGTCAACTGTGATACTAATCTATAATAACTTTGAAATGTACACTGATGAATATCCAACTCCGCTTGGCCTGTAAGAGCAACATTTCCATGTCTCCTCAGTGCGAGCTGAAGATTGCCCAGCCAAAGGAGGTGTACCAGCAGCAGCAGTATGGAGCAGGACGTGGCGGTGGTTATGGAGGCCGGGGAGGCAGGGGCCGTGGAGGTGAGGAGGATTCCAGATTCCCCCCGTGTTGGCAGGGAATGGAAATTGGTGTCATTGATATTAATTTGGTGTATAAACAAGTGAAAGGCCTTTGTCACCACAGAAGTGGCTGGCATTCAGTTGTTGGTGAACCTGCTGTGTCAGAATTGAGGATTATTTATTTTTATAATAAATGTATTAATAGATTTATTTTGGTCACTTTCTTTATTGCCCTATTTTTTTCCCCTATCTGGGTGCATATTTCCTTGTTGCCTATGTAAGCACTAGGTTGCAGCAGTATACTGTTTTTACGGTATACCATGATGTGAGGATTGATGGTTATCATACCATGTTTATTACTGGTAATAAAAAAAAAACGCAATGTGTATGCACCTTTCTTTTCCGACTGCCTGTCAGACTATGCAGTGGGTGTCACACACAGTAACTGTAATATTGTATACGATAAAACCGTGATATATTACGAAGTGGTTATCATACCGTTGCAACCCTCGTATGCATATTGACAGCCCTGTACCCGAGTCTGTCCTTGTGTGTTCAACGTACTGGGGCAGTAAAGCTGGTTCTGATTTGTAAAGGACATCAGTTCGGCCAGTCGGCTTAAAGCCGAAGCCAGAGTTGGACTTTCTGTGTGTACTGTAAATGCTACAAATGCAAGGTCTTGCTGACATTCTGGTCCAAAATGTCTTGAATACATTTGTTTGTTTTTCCCTTTTTTGTTGTATGCTTTTTGGCAGAAACAACTAACCTCAACATCAAACTTTAAAAAAAAAAAATGCAGAACAGTTTTGTTGCTGTCAGAAAAGTTGTATACAGGATGAGACTGTAGTCTCCATGTCAACTCTGCACTTTGTGTCTCAGGTCAGGGCCAGGGCTGGAACCAGGGCTATGGAAACTACTGGAACCAAGGCTATGGCAACCAAAGCTATGACCAGGGCTATGGCAACTATGATTACTCTTCTGGTTACTATGGATATGGCCCCGGATATGATTACAGTAAGCATACACACATATGCAGTGCTTCCGTCAATGATGATTACAGGGGCTTCAGGGGAGCTATCAGATTTTCTCTACTGAATCTAAACTTAAGGGTTGAGCTGATTGAGCAATGGGGCTTTCCTTAGATTTTAACATTTAAAATTCTCACTTGTGAGGAGTAAGTCAGTACTGATGCAGATACAGTTCAGCATATTGTGTTGGTGTATAACTAATAGGGATGGAATGATGAGATTTTTTCTTGAGTTGATTCAATCACAATACAATTCAAAATTTAAAGACGGCAATACATGACTTGCTGCAAAATATAGCTGGGGAAACGGCAAAAATACTATGCAAAGAATCAGCTCAAAGGGTTACAGCACCTAGTTTTCTGAGCATTAATGTTGACAGATTTGTCTGCCCGCTGTGTCCCACAGACCAGGGCAGTGCCAGCTATGGGAAAACTCCAAGACGGGGGGCACACCAGTCCAACTACAAGCCATACTGATCACGTGATATTGTAAAGTAAGCTATGGTTATAACTACCTTCTTTCCAGACAGTTATAACCACAGGGCTAGTAAATGTGGTCCTACCCTTGCTCTGACCTGCACTATATTATTGTAAGAGGCATTAAATTTTGAAAGGATGTTATGTACCCTTTTTCTAGATCTTAACTGTGAACCAAAAGGCATTTTGTTTATTTTGGGTCATTTTAAGCCTTTATCATACAAAGAGATCCCACAGAGGCCCTAGGTTCAGTCCCAGAGCCTTCTTGCTGTGAAGCGACAGTGCAAGCTACTACACACACTACCTTCTGTGTGAAGCTCTTAAGAAAATGTGACTTTTTTCCAGTTTATTTTTTGTGCCACATTGAGTGTTTAGATGCATTTCTGCTCTAAAATGTGTAACTAAAGTTTGCCGTCCCTTAGGACTCCAGTGATCCAGCGATACAGGCGGCTGAGCGGATACACTGGGCCTGACGCAACCTCTTTTATGACAGAAAACCATTTGTACAGAGAACATCAGAAATGTAACTTTTCCTTTTTTTTTTCTTTTTTTTTTTTTTATCCTATCATTTTAGGTTTTATTTTCTCTTGGTGTTGTTCTGTTTGTTTTTGTTTTGTTTTTTGTTTTTTCTCCCCCCCCTCCACATTTCCATCGATGGAAGTGTAATTTTTACTGTACTTTTTGGTACCTGTTTTGATTCTAATGTATTGTAAGGGTTGTATTTTACATGTTTGCTGGCTTTACAGGTTGAAAATCTTGGCGCTGTAAAGGAGCTTTTTTGACAAAATAAACAATTTTCATTAATATTTTTTCTGATGCTTTCAGCTTCTGGGGTGGAAGATTAAGAAGTTGTTGAATAAGTTTAGGATTTAAATTATGTTGTCAGAAATGGTAGGTGGGGGGGGTTTTTTTTTTTTTTTTTTTTTTTTTTCTTTTTTTTTTTCTTTTTTTTTTTTTGCGTGTGTTTTGTAGAAGTGTAATAATGAAGGATGTTACACTTCACAGGTTGCCCGCCTGACTAAAGAATTGTTAAACATCCCTTTAGGTGAGGTTTCCTTAAAATTTAAGCAACTGCCTGGAAGTTTGTCTTTCAGAACATTGTGAACTGACAGGGAAGTAACATGAATGCATACAGATGTGTGGATTTAGTGGAGGAAAATGATTGAACCACATGTTACTATGGACTTCTTGAAATCCACATACCCTTTAAAAAATTGTTTAAATTTTTAAGCCGATTTTGTTTGTTTTAGGAATACCTGTTCTGAAGTAAAATGTCTGCTTAGTTTTTCTGGACAGGCATTTGAAATCTCCCCAGCTAGTGTCTGAAAATTGATTAGTAATAAACATTCTTGTTTGTAATGTAGTTTGTATTTTTAATGTTTACTACTAATGAGACGAGTTAAGAGTAAAAATAAGCAGATTTAAGTTTGTGTTCAAACATCCTCTGCTTTCAGCACTTGATGGTACAAGAAAATGATAGCGATCTACTAAACTACAAGTCTAAAGCACAGAGGGTACTAATTCAGAAGTTTATGAATTTTGTAAAAGGGTTTTTTCCTCTGTCAATACAGTCGGCAGATAAATTATGTATTAATTTGTAAAGAAGAAATCTTAATCTAAGGAGATAAACTGGGATTTAATTATCTGTGGATCATCAAATCAAATTTTATTTGTATAGCGCCAAATCACAACAAAAGTCATCTCAGGACACTTTACAAAGTAAGGTCTAGACCTTACTGTTATCAATATTATTACATAGGGAAAACCCAACAAATCCCCCTTGAGCAAGCACTTGGCGACAGTGGGGAGGAAAAACTCCCTTTAACGGAAGAAACCTCCGACAGACCCCGGCTCTTGGTGGGCGGCCTTCTGCCTCGACCGGTTGGGGTGAGTGGATAGAGGAGAGACAAAAGAAGAAAAGCAACAAGACACAACAATCAAACACTGATCAGGTCGATGTGGCCGGTGACTGCTCGTCAGAGATATAGAGCTCCAGGGCAACCTGCAGAAAGTTACAGGGAGAGAGAGAGAGGACACACTACGGGAGAAAGGAGACACAAAGTTAGTAATGTGTAATAGTGGCAAGCTAGTGGCAGAGGTGCATGCGCAGACAACTGGAGTTATGACCTGGTCTGAACAGCCAGATTTTAAATCAT